TGAACTACAGAACTGCAGTCAGCTGAAGTAGCCTGCAATGCTGCATTTAACCACTGTGCCACCTCGGCTCTAGGAGGAGGAGGATGAAGAGGGGAAGGAGGAAGCGGAAAGGAGGGAAGGAAGATTATGAGAGGAAGGTCTGAGTGAAGTCCTACCTTAGCACTTGGCCACCAGCAGCCCTGCTACCCTTTTGCCATCCCCTTGCCCCCTCCTCTCCTGGTGGTCTCCCATCCTATAGCTGAGGATGCTTTGGTAAGAGAGCGAGTGGGCCTCCCTGACCCACACACTTTGCCCTCCTGCACACGCCATGAGCAACCTGGCCAAGGAGAGTGAGCATAGCAGAAGTAGCCTTGAGGAGGCAGCTAGCACAAGTAGGCACCCCCTTGGGGAAGCAAGACTGGGCTGGGCTGTGGGGTCCTGGTGCCTAGGGAGCTCAAGGGCTGGGTTGGGCACTTGCCCTCCACTGCCCAGGGCTCCAGGCAGCCTCTCTGGGGATCCTCCATGTGGCCTGAGAGGGATGGTGAGGCTCCTCTGGTAGACAAGGGTTTGGCGCTCACCCTGCTCTTGCCTTCCTCTACTGAAGACAATGGATTCCCCCCCCCCAGCCCCTGACATGAGTGATGTTGAACTGGCCATACCACTGGCCGTGCCCCACATCCTCCCCAAGGCCAACCACAACCGTGATACAGCCCTCAATAAAATTGAGTTTTACACCCCTGATATAAGCTATCACAGTTCTTTCAGAGTTCTAAAAAGGTAAAGCATATTCTAAAGATCATAGACTGCCCTTTTATCAAATATGAATTTATTTGTGCAAAAATGTAAATGAACAATCATATAAGTAAAAAAGTTATAGCAGAATTATAAATAATAATAAAAATAAATATATACTGAAATAGGATTGGTTCTTGAATAAACAATTTAAAACATTCCATTCCATTTACCAGTTTGGCTTATTGTAGCTGAGGCACTTCCTGTATTTGGTACAAGAAACAGTGATTGAATAAATGATCCCAAAGCATTCACTATGTCACGGAATACTTTGGTAGAATGCTGCTTCATATCATAAGATTGACAAAATGACCTGGTAAAAATATGAGTACAACAATTATTACTTTTATTTTCAAACATCTACTGAATAAACAATTTGTGACTCTATACTTTAGAATAATTGTCCTTATGTTTATTAAAATTAGGAAAAATACCTCATGTTTTACAGCAGAGCTTTTAATTCAATAATTCAAAATAGATTTTAATATCTGGGCATCGTAATATTTTCTGGCACACCCAGCAAGAATTCTAAGAATATCACTAAATATTTAAGTATTTTATTTTTTAAAAATCACTTAATTTGTTTCATCAGTTCAAGAAAAGCCTCTACCTTAGCAGTTGTGGTTGCACACAAAGTCTGTGTATGGATTCTGCTGCAACAGCTCTTAACCACTGAGGTTTATCTGAATCCAGAAACTTTACAAGCAATGACAGAAAGATTTCACATTCGGTTACCTAAACAAAAAATACCCACTGTGTTAAGAGACAAATAATTCTAATTTAGATTAATGTGTGCAATAGGTTACTGTTACTTACATGTTACACTTAGCTACAACCTCAGTTTTAATGGGAAGCAGGATTAAGAAAACTCATTTCTAAACAATTAGAAAATAATTGAGTATAATTTTTCATAAAGTTTTATTCTAATTTGTACATAGAATGGTCTACAATATAACCCTCTGAAATGTACTTCTGAATAGATTTGCATAGAGCTGAACTGAAAATGACCCAGGGTGACTTAAGTATAAAGAACAGAAATAGCATGTATCACATTTTGGTGCACAAGATATTTAAGATACATTATTTGAACAATAATATTAAAATTACATTCTTACCAACAAAGTATAGAACTGTTTGATTAATACAGAAACAACTCTTAAAAGGCGCATACAAATAGGAAAATAAGGCTTTTCCACTGGTGCAGGTGAAGATGAAGTTCCAGAGCCTTGTCTGAATTTGATATTTGGTGAGAAGAGCTTAATCACTAGTGGACAAACTCTTTCTTTCAGCAGGAAACTAAATTCTTGATGCTGAAAGCAAAAAGAACGTTAAAATGGTACATTTTAGTAGAAAAAACCACTAGTAATCTTAGGAATGCTATGTTGATATTAACATTCTAAAACAGCCATAAATACATATGTTTCAATATTTTTTAACCTTCAGAAGCATAGGTATATCAAAACACATATGATCTTATCTAACCAATTCTGAGTTGATAAAAATGTTATAGGTAAAATGGGGGGAAATGAAATTAAATGATATTAAGTTATGACTGTTTAATTTTGTTTGATCCTTCTAGATTATCTAAATATGATTAAGACTGCCAATATTTGAATGTTAACAGATACTTTCTAACAGCATAATATCTTTTCCAGCCTACTCCTATTTCTAAGTCTAAACATAGCTAGTTAAACTTGCATATCAGAAATCTTATCAGCTTCTTTCTACAACTAATAAATAAAAATTTACCTGTAAAAATACTTGTGGGAAATCATTGAGGACTGATTCAAGTAGCTCCAAACCAAATGTCCGAGTCATTTCTGTCATACCTACAAGCCAGTAAGGGGCATCAGCATTAACTAGTTGACAAAGATCCTAAAACAAACAACAAACAAACAAACAATTATCCTGTATCTTTGTCACTACAATCAGTCTGGAAAAACTATAAAGTTCTGCTCTTTTTAAAGAGGAAAGAATGACTATGTAAGGACCTGCCCCAGTTGGTCCCTCAGGACAGTAAAACTCCTGAATCTGTTGAATTGGATCAAAAGAATTTTTACTGAGAGAAAGTGGTTGCAGTAAAGTCATGCTGAATCTGAAGATCCCACACAAACCATAAATCAATTCTTACGTTTCCCCAAAACCAACCCCCCTGACCAGACCGGCAGTCAGGTAATGCAGAGAGGATATTTTGAGAATGCTGACGTGCTAGGCAGATAACAGGTCATTCTCAGCTGAAACTGGCTGGGAGGGAGTCTGTCCAAAAACAACTCCCCTCCCTAATTCCCAAGCATCCAGGCAAAAGTGAAAGCATCCAAAGCATGTCATCTCCTTCCAACAGAATGGCAGGATATGATGGTGGACCTGATAGACTAAACAAATTTACTTATTATGACATCTGCAATAATAATTCTGAGCCTATGGATAATTCTATAAAATATTTCATGCTGATTATAAAGCATATAATCTGCCTTTCATATCTTATAATCACCATGTAAATAACTGGAAGCCATGGGTTAATAATTCATTACCAATTCAAATGTCATAAATTAGTTTCCCTGAAATCAGGTAAAATAAAAGAGAGTAGTTATATCAGCCTAAAGATGTCAATAGTGCCAAAATGACTAAAATTATCCCATTATAAATGCAATAAAATTGCCTTTATTAAATTGTATTTTTTTGCTCTAATGATATAAACCATTGATTTGTTTCTTTTCCACTTAGACAAGAACATTCTGTCTATTAAGACTTTTTATTTATATATCCAATTTTTAGCATGTTAAATTGGTTTTATAAAACCGTTTCAATTTGACAAGTATCTTTAAATAAGGCACATTTCCCGAGTATAATGAGTTCTGAATATGTTCTCAAATTTAAACAAATAATAAGTCTGTTTATCTTAACTAATGCTGAAATTCTACAATATAGGCAAGATGTTTTAGGGCTAAAGGGTTAATTTAATTTTCCCATCCAGTATCTATCTTCTAGAGGAGAGAAAAAATAGTTTTATTCTCTACAGTTATTTCAATAAATATTATCATTTTATTATATTGGGATATGAATATTGGACAGAGGAAAAGAGAGTTTGATAAAGTATGTTCTTGACTACTCCATAACCACTAACCTAAGAAAGATTTGTACCAGAAATTGATAAACATAGTGAATTTATTTTCATTGGTACGGAAATAAAGGAACATAATAGCTATCAATATTTTCATGGAATTATAAAATACCTTTTACCAGACCTAAGTACTGGAAATTGTATGCATGTGTGCTTCATATCAGTGTTGAATCCTGACTGCTTTGGACTAGTCCTTGCAAGTTTATTAGTAAGATTTTTTTAAAAGTGATTTGCCCTAGGCTGAGACTTTCTCACATAAATTAGCATTGGGATAAATGATATTGCTTTGGGATTTATTGCATTGATTTATTTATTGTATTTGTTGCATTGATTTATTTATTTATTGTGATTATATTTCATCACAACCAATTCATCTCCAATTAGCTATATAATTTTTGTGGAGACCAATTTACATAAAACAGGCAACAGAAAAAAAAAAAAATTAAAAAAAATGAAGTGTCAATACCTGAAAAAGCATATATGCATCTTTAGCACATGGTTTCAAGGTGCTTACAGATCTTCTGTTACTATTTCCTTGATTTCCTACTGGCTCCTCAATAAAACCTATATTAAATATAGATGCAATTCAGAAAATATAAAGTGAAAACTGAACAATACTACATTCTTTCTCCCTACATTGATTCAATAAATTAAATGTTTTGCAAGAAGCTGTGGTCTATATTCTTCTTATAGTTGCTTTGTTCTCCTGCTAAGTAGGAAAAAGTATACATATCTAGCAAAAAATCAGTAATCAAGAAATGAATCCGCCAACTAATCGCAAAATGAAGTGTATGTATGACAACTGCTAAGCAATGAGTTAACTATATAAATGCATGGGTATGTGCAGTATGCATGTATGCAAAAATTAAAGTATCTTTATTTTTGTAAACTAAGAAAACAGACTGGATGCACTTCTCTCTGATCCTAGATAATCTTCTCTGTCACTATCTTTACTAGAGTTCTAATAATTTGCTTTCAAAGAAAAGTTTAGCATATGCCTAAGACAAAATTGAATATCTACTATATTACAAGACATACGCACCTTTATACCGTTCATCTTCGGCAACCACTCTTTCAAAAACAACAGTAACTACCTGCCGGACTGTGGCTGCTGCAGTATTATTGGTGATATTATCTTTTGTAAAGTGTAATCGAAAACAAAGAACAATTGCCTAAACAGTAAAAATTAAAACATTCTCATTACTCAGCAGAAAAACATTCTCATTAATAGAGAGAAATGTCATAATTCTTGTACTTTATAATTTTAATGCTGTAAGATGATGAGTCAAACATGTTTAATAAATAAAATAAAATGAAATGTTTTTCTGGAAATAATTCCAGAAAACTATTGTTAAGGATAACATGGTATTATGTGCATAAAGGTCTTCTTCACCTTAGGAAGGCTCCCTGCTTCTGTCTCCATTCTAACCCTACCCTCCTCATTGTGGAAGAAAATGCCTCAGTGAAAACTTTAAAAGACACCCCTCTTCTCACCCCTATAAAACTTCACAAGTTGAACCAGATTGTCAATACCATGTTTCTCCGAAAATAAGACAGGGTCTTATTTTCTTTTGACCCCCCCAATTTTTTTTGCTTGGGCCTTATTATCGGGGGGGGTGGGTTATTGGTTTGGGGTTGCCGGTGGCTGCTCTCTTGCGAGCAGGTGCCCGAAGAGCCGGGCACAGGCTCAGGGGCAAACTGTTGGAAGACTCTATACCAGAGTCTTCCAACAGCCAGCCCACAACTATAGAGTGTAGTCCCAGAGCGGCTGCTGCCAGAAGACTTGACAGCGGATCTCCGGAGTTTGGAAGCTGGTTATGCTTGGAGCATGACAGAGGCGGCGGCAGCAGGGGGTGGCAGTGGCGACCTGGCCCAGCCCTGCAGGGAGAGTTGGGCATGGTGAGGCAGGGAGGCGCACAAGTTGGAGGCAGAACAAGTGCTTGCGCAACCTCTCTTTCCAGCCGGGCAGAGCGCCATGTGGCTTAGCACCTTTGGGATATTACTGGGTTGGTGAGTGGCACTCTGCCCGGCTGGAAAGGGGCGCTGCCAGGTGGCTGCTGGTGAGAGCAGCCACCCGGCAACCTCCCGCTCCAGCTGGGCACAGCGCCACCCACCAACCTAGCGGTATCCCAAAGGCGTCAAGCAATGTGAGCACCTTTGCCTCCCCTCCCGCCGGCTCCTACAGCTTTGCGCCTTTGGGATATCGCTAGGTTGGTGAGTGGCGCTCTGCCTGGCTGGAGGGAGGGTGTCCAGGGGGCTTATTATTGGGGATGGGCCCAATAATATATTTTTGCCTACAGGAAAAATATGGCATGGTCTTATTTTCAGGACATGTCATAATTTTGGGGAAACACGGTATCGTCCTGTGCCCCAGCAGCAAAGGAGGAGTAAAAGGTATAGGTAAAATACATGAATACATCCAGTTATGCTTTTTATAAAAAAGACACAAACTGGCACTAAACACTGGCAATTATTTTATTAGAAAATATACAATAAGGAAGGAAATATGGATACTAGACCTATGGGGAAAAATTTGCTTATGAAGAGACAATAAGTAGGCTTTCTACTATAGAGCCTAATCCTAGGAAAAACAGAAATAAGTTGAATATGGCTTTAAGCATATCAAAAATAAAATCCAAATGCACTCTAATTATCATTTGCTGCCTGGTTTACCTACCCCTTTCCTATGCAGACCTGAGTATATCATACTTGGGCTGCAAAAATATGGGCAGCTATTAGAGGGCATTTATACTTAAAGTTTGTGTGTGGCTGTGTTAGTGATCATTGGGATTGTTGCAACCCAGCTAGCATGCCTAGCAACCATTGCTCAGATATTAGACATTAGATATGCATGCTGCATAGAGTTCTGGACTTACTGTGCAAAAGCTCTCAAAGGCATTGCATTAGGAAAGTCTTATAAAGCTGTTACTTTCTGAATTACATCTGAGAGGGACTCAGAATTCAGGCAAATTATGCCTGAAATGGAATTTCAGATTTTTAAAACTTTGCCATGTTATAACAACAACAATCCAGAAACCATATCTTTTATTTAAGGAAAGAAAGTAGCTAAGGCAGAGTATGTTAAACATTTACAGTTATTGGATTGCTTTTTTCTCATAATAAAAATATTCATGCAATTGGTTAGTAATAGGTTCATATAAGACTTTAGAGAGTAGAAAAAGAAAGATGCGAAACCTTTTAAATAAGATTGCAGCAGTAGCGTAAAAATCTATAATAGAATGAAATTTAGCTGTTGATTTCCCTTGCTGTGATTGTACATAAAAGATGGCCAGAGAAATTCAGGGACCCAGTCGTTCTGATATGGATAAAATTATTTGATGTCATTTTGTCATTAATTAATTCTGAAGAGCACAAAATCATTACCTTGGAAAGCACTTCATCGTGGACAACGGTATTGGTTGTTAGTAATACAAGAACAGTTTGAAGCAGCTTAAGTTCCTCAAGGCTATTTTCCATAAGTTGCCAAAGCATATTAATAACATTTCCAGCAGCAACCTTGGAAGAAATTGAGACAATTACTGTAAATGCCTATACACAGAGGCTCACTTTTTAAATTGGTATTGGTTTTTAAATCTCTAGAACAATACATACTGAAAATATTTTGCTTCCTATTTTTATTTTTGATATTTTCATGTGTACTTAAGGATAATGTTAGGTGAGGTTTCTACAGATGATCCTTGCTTAATGATCAGTTGTATAGCTACCATTCAAACCTCGAAGGGCACTGAATTAGTAGTTATGACAGGTCCTCAAACAGGCCGGGATACCAGAGACTTTCTTGGCCTTGAATAAGAGGGAACGAAATAAGGCAGGCTTAAAAAGACCCAATAAGGCAGAAGGAGCAGGGGTCAAGCCTCATCCTCTGACAGATCAGAATCACGGGAGACCTGTTCCTCAGTATCCACAGCGAGTGGCTGAAAGATGCTTGCAGAAGCCGCCCCTTGGGCCTGGTTGGAACGACTCTTCTTAGGTCTGTTGGAAGAGGAGCAATGAGGAGTGGCAGCAGCAGGATGCTGAAGGCCTGCAGCGATGCCCCGCTCAATGGCAGCTGCTATGATATCAGCCATATCATCAGGATTGATGGTGACAGCCCTGGGGACAGGGGAACCCACATCAATGTTGGGGGTGATGCTGCCATTCCTTTCAGAATCTGAGTCCCCTTGAAATCCAATCCCATCCTCAGGGTTCAAAGGAGAAGCTGGGGGGGAGACATCCCCATCAGTATCAGTGGAGAGGTCCTCCATAGGGTTGAAATTAATTGGAGGAGAAACCCTGGGCAGAAGGACAGTAGTACAGCAATGATTGGTCTTAGAAGTGGCCTTTTGTGGCGCAGGATCGGGGCCCTTGTCGGTAGGTGCACCAGGAGAGGGAGTTTCCTGGGTCTCCTGAGGGAGAGCAGGCTTAGAGGTCTTGGTAGGCCTGGTAGAAGAAGGCTTTGAATGGCCTCTCTTTTTGCCCTTAGGCTCAGAGGTGACTGGAGCTGATGGGGCAACAGAACTGGGCAAATCCCACCCCCCTCGGAAAGGGTTCCATTACTTGCCATTACTCAAGATTACTCCTTTAGCTGAAGAGATGTTGTAAAGCGATGCAGCAGGCTTCCCGCCCAAAGAAAATGGCCGGCGCTTTTTTTCACGCTCAAAATAACTGCCTCAGAAAGTAGACCGGGCCCTGAGAAAGGGCTAAGGTGGCGAGCCCACTAAGCAGCCTGTCGCCCAGCAGTTTTGCTGCCTATCAAGCGCGCCAGCGCGAGAAGAGGCCACAGGGGCTGAAGGAGGAGGCTGTGGGGGCTCAGAATGAGATTTCTGTGGCCTTCGCGATTAGAGAAGGCTTCTCCAGTGTGCGCGGCTGCAGCGATAGTTCCTGAGGTGTCCGGCTGCAGCAGAATGCCTTTTGAAAGGCTTGGGCGTTTTTTCAGCAGCACGGCTGCAGCAAGAGGCTGGAACTCCTTCGGACAGCGCGGCAGCAACGAGCGGCACTCAAAGAGCCTGAGGCAAACCTCATAGGCTAGCCACGTGGCTGTAAGCTGCTGAGGCAGCCAAACCAGAGGGAGGCAAAAGCCTCAGAAAGGCAGGAATGCTTAGAGAGCAAAGGCCTGATAGAGAACGATTTGGGAGGAAGCCAATTTAGAAGTTTGAAGAGGTTTAGAGGATTTGTAGAGAATTTAAAGGAAAATTAGCAAGGAGAAATAGGGAGGCACAGTTAATTAAAGGATTGACTGAGTCTATTTCTGGGGAGGAGCTTCATGGGCATGGCTTTAATACTTGTAGACCCAGTTGTATTGGATCCTGACGGAGTCATACCCATGCCTGGATGATGTCTCCACCTACTGGAGAATTGCAATCTTCCCTGCTAGCTTCTGACAAACAGTCAATGCAGAAGCTGGCATGAAATTATAGTCACATGAGGTTCTTGCTTAATGATTCACATAGTCCTTACTCAACGACAGCAACTGGGACTGCTGAAACTGCCATCATTAAACAATGCAGTCATGTGGTAGGGTTTGTCTGTTTTTCTTATGACTACATGGCTTAATGATGGAGTTTCCAGATCTAATTAGAATCATTAAATTAATTTCTAAGAATATAAAATACAGTATGCTTAATCTTGAATACATATTTAATATTATGAACTGTGGTGATGCAGTGGTTAGAAGGCAGTACTCCAGGCTATTTCTGCTGCCTGCTGGCTGCCTGCATTTTGGCAGTTTAATTCTCACCAGCTCAAGGTTGACTCAGCCTTCCATCCTTCTGAGGTTCGTAAAATGAGGACCCAGATTGTTGGGGCCAATATGCTGATTATGTAAACTGCTTGGAGACGGCTGTAAAGCACTATGAAGTGGTATATAAGTTTAACTGCTATTGTTATAATAGATTTGTTCCCCAAGTATGTACATTTATAAGTTAAAGAGAAACATTTTCTTAAATTTAAATCATTTATTAACTTTTATTTAATACTTTTCAAAGATCTTATAAATAGGTTTAAATAAATGATTTTAAAGCTTTCAACCTTAGTAGGTTGAAAGTATTTTAAATTTTAAAATTTTTTAAAAAATCATAATTTTTAGTACAATGCTGGTCTTGACAGAAAATTCCCAACAGCCTTGCATATCTTTTCCTACTTCTTCGTGTTTCAAAATTATGGCTTCTGTTATATTAGCATCAATAATAGCTTCAATCAGTATATAGATAAAACATGCAACCTAGTACAATTTCTTATATTTCTTATCATGCAGCTCCCACCAGCAGATATAGTTGTACTCTCCAATTTTAATTTCAAAACAAACTCATCTATCTGATAAGAAAATAAAGCTGGTTGCTCACAACTAAATAATACATTAAATACCATGAAAAATTTCCACTGTATAAAATCAGTCTGGTTACCTTAACCTTACCTCTGAAACAACTTCATGAGACATGAGCCTCTGGATAGCAGCTAGACATAGCTGAGTGATCTTTGGTTCTTTTGTTCCACAGCCCATTAGAAAAGGCTGAACCACTTCTGAGCTATTCTCTTTCAAAGCTTTGAAATTGAGAGAGAAAACACAAGCAAGCAAGCAAATAAGAAAACCCAAATCAAGAATACTAAAGATATATTTATGATAAAAATTGACATCTGATAACACATTTAGATTAGTACTCTATTTAACTTATGCTATAATTAATCACCCAATTAAATAACTAAATTAAATAGTAGAAAAACAGTAATAAGTCAACACCTATAATGAAGCTGCAAATATAACCCAGATATCAAATTATTTTAAGATATCTTCTCGTACTTGAGAAATATCATATTGCTATACAGCTGTCCCCGAGACAGCTTACCTATTAATGGATGTTAAACATTGTGAAAGTAGGAAAAATGTTACAACTGAAATATATTTTTATACATGATTTTACACAATTCTTCAAAAGTTAACTAATACATACACACACATACAAATGTGTATGTGTGTATGTGTGTATCTATATCTATCCATCTTGATTTTTCTACAAAAGGATATTCTGACATGAACTTATAGTACAATGTATAATAAATAATTTTATTGCTAACAGCATTATCATTTTATTTTTGAAAAAAATCATCTCTAAAGTAGTTCTTATGTTTAGTTTTAGAACAATAAATAAGATAAAAGATCTGGTTTATTAGATAATAGTCCACATGATAAAAATGGTCAATTATGATGAAACTCTTTGCTGAAAATGCAGTTTCAAATGCATAACTTACACCTGCTATTTCAATTTTTATTAAAACATGCCTTCAATTTTCATTTAAACTTTGCATACCATAGTACATTAAAAATAATCATTATTGTCAGAGTTTTGGCAGCGTGATTATTATTATGAGATAAACCCAGAAGAACAACACAGCACACAGAACCTTTAGATAATTAATAGCGGTTTATATACAAATATATACAGACATACACACGATAGATACATCCCTTACCACTCAGTTACGGACACAAGGAGAGGAATGAGATTCACAACGAGAGAGAGAAACACCCTCTAATGACCATGTACAGCTGTGTGAAAAAGTCCTGTATGCTTTCAGTTTTAAGCTGTATTTACATGTTTAATCAACTTTTCACTCATAGAAACCACGCAAAATTAGTACTTTGATAAAAAATTTGTAGTTGGATTGAGATGCATAATTTTTATTAATATAACCAAAGTCTTTTTAAGGTTTTGAGTGAGTTTATGTGCTA